CTTCCTCAGCTCCAGGCTCAAAATACACTCCAGCCAAGAAGATTTGACTCCTGCTGCCAGTGTGCAGGGAAAAGCCTTACAAGGTCAAAGTTGAGGGAGCCAAGTAAGCATCGTACTGTCCTGTGACTCCTGGCACAGACTTGTGGGTATTTTTGAAACAGCTTCAAGAGCTTTTAGCTGGCTGCGCTCTAGCACAATGGGATTAATATGAAAGAAAATGATGTTTTTGGCCATCTGCAAAGGAAAGCCATTTCCCACCAATCAGAGCATGCATCATCATCCCAAGGCTGCAAAAGCTTTGATGCTGACAGCAAACAAAACAAACCAAAAGCAACAACAACAAAATTGATCTGGCCAGATAAACCGGGCTGCCTGGGCCTGGCTGCCAACCATATGCTATGTGTCTCTTGACCAGGACTCTGTAAGCGGGCCGGCTGGTGGGTCGGCTACATTCCCCTACAGTTCTCTGGCTCAGACATCTAAGCGAGGCCACTCAGCACACAAGGAATGCTGGCAAATTCTTGAATTCTTCTGCCTGAAAATTGGAGCCTTCTGGCCCCTGCATTACTGCAGGCAGGTGAGTGTGGGCAAAACAGCCGCAACCTGCACCCAGCCAGCGGGGCACTACCTGCTCAGGAAGTGTATGCCCGATCCCAGCTTACAGGAAACCCAGGCCAGGGCGCTTGGTGGCCATGTGGACGTGCCACCGAGGCAATTTTCACAAGAAATGAAACCTGCAGGCAGACTTCAGCACAACAGTGCACTGACCAGAGAGAAAGGGCCCGCCCATTCAGCATACATGGAAGAGAGGGATGATCACTTCCAAACGACATTCATGACGGGCAACCATTGCAAGAAGTGAATGTCCCCATCGGCCACAGGAACCATCAAAGTGCCCCTGCCCGTTGTGCCCCGTTATGCACAGTACAGAGAAAACAGCCTCCGACGCCCACAGATCCGAAAGCACTGAGCATCGTTCTTCATTTCCATTTCGACACTCAACAGAGGTCAACTGAAATACAATGACAGAGAACTCTTGTCCAGTTGATGGGATTCCATTTTGGCCTTATGAGGTCGATGGGCCTAAGACCAGCCCCTCCACACAGTAAGGGGAGTGAGCCCTCTCAAGTGCTCCCATGAAGCGGTAGACAAAATTGAACGACAAGCCCAGAATGGCCGCCTGTAAGAGAAGAGTTTCTTCTAACGCGCTGGGGCTGTATTTTGTAGATTTACATGAACTTTATTCTCCGTAATACATGTTTAAATAAAAAAAACATATTCGATTACTAATGAACTAAATTCTTTAACACTTTCTCCCCCAAACAGTCCATTTATAACCGTCACGCTGAATATAAGTGACCGATTGGGTCCCAAAGTACCCAGCAGGCAGAGAATTCAAGAGGAGAAATCGGGACCCCTAGAGCTGCCGAGTGCCCACCCTCTGGCTTCTTCCTCACATAGCAACATGCTCCAAGAACAGGTTTTAGCATTTAATTCTGATAATAATTTTTTCCACGTTCCACCTACTGTTTTCTGTGATTGATGGTAGGCGGAGAGCCAGAGGTAGGGGTGTGAGGAAAGAAAGGAGGCAGGTTAGTCTCGGGCTTCAAGCTCTGCTGCTCAACCAGTGTGTAAAAGCGGGACTGAGCATATGCACAGGTCTGGTGAAATTAAATGATCTCGTACAAAATAGAAGTTCCAGGCATGGAGGAGGAAATCAGCCCATGTCGGCAGACCACCCTCATAGTCCTGGCCTGACTCCATCCCCCCGGCAGGGCCTGGTCTACAGAAGACAACCTCGTTGAAACAGCGAGGGCCTGAGAACAACGACCCGCGGGCTGCGCACATTCCATTGTGGACAAGTGGGAGACACAATCCAGTATTCCAATGAGCCCCCAGGATGGACGGCTCGTGCTGCTGGCCTCCATTCTTTACCAATGCGAGGCCGCCATCCCCTGCTGGGCCCCAGGAAAGCGGCAGAGTAGAGGACCTGGGTGCCAGGTTTGGGCAGGTTTCAAAAAAAAGCAGCCACATGAGAGAATCTCAGAGAAAAGACACAGCTGTGGTACAAAGCAAAACACTTCAGTGGCCAAAACAACAAAAACAGCCTGTAAACACCACGAAGATTCTACTGGGAACAATTTGCTCGTCAGCTATTACTCTACTCTGGTTATTCCCCAAACACAGTAATAGCTAAATTGGCAAACTAAAGTTAAACTAAGGCCAAGGCTACATTATACTTCAGCGAAATGAAGTGTGCCCCCCTCACCCCACATGTGTTGCAAATCCCAAACTCCTAAACCTGTGGATGCAACCCATTTGGGAATAGGACTTTCTTTGCTCTATTAATGAGACCCCATTTACCTTTGAGGTACTCAGGCGTCTAGATCTGTAACCTGTGAGGAAATAAAACCATCTACTTGCGGCACTTCTGTTATAGCAGCACCAAGAAACTAAGACCCGCCCTTAAAGAAGAAAGTATACACACAGAAGGCGAGCAGCCTCTGCAGCTGAGACGTAAACAACTCGGTATGGCTCTGCTAGCACTTATATGGCATCATGAATTCTAGCCTCTCTCCCTGGGCTATCCTCCCATCTTGGAGTGAGTTCTCTGCTACAGGATTAAGGTGGGATGTATGTACTGAGTCTCCACCTGAGTAGAGGGTGAACCAAGGCATCACCCTCCGTTTCCTTGGGGGACAGTTTGCTGAGACAACCACATCTCTATGTGGACAGGAGCGATCTCAGAAGCATAGGAGAAAGCCTGGACCACGGAAGAAAAGCCACAGCAGAGCGTGGTCCAGGCCGAGATCAGGGGCACCAGCCCGACCCCAGAGGGCAGGAGACAGAGCTGGGGAGCAGCACTGAGACTGTGAAGCAGAGGCAAGGGTGAAGGGACCATCAGTGGCTGAAAGACTGAGGACCAGAGGGAAACCTGGCTGCTGGCGGAGGAGAAGCACTGCAGTGGACGGGTGACTGCATCCCATCCTCACTGTTTCCTGATGATGGCTTGTGGTGACCTGTCCACTTCCTCGTAAACTCACATAATTGAGAGCACTGTGACAAACGACTGCGTCCAGCAGAAGAGAGGAGTGCTGGGGGGAGAATGGCTGGTGTCTGAATAGGTAACGTCTAACACCGGCCTGGTGGCAATAGGGAAGCCATGGGGCCAAATGAAGGATCTGATGAGCATCTTCACTTCACTCCCAAGCCTTCCACATTCGCTCGCGCATGCGTTTCTGCCAGTGAGAAATACGATGAGTGTGTACTGTGCCTCCTCGTGGACTACTGAGAGTTATATACAGCCCTCAGCCAGTAAAGGGCTGTACTGCATACAGTAAAAAGGCTGACACTGGCAGTTACTCTCATCAAATGTAAGTCCTCCCTCTGACCTTTAAGGGCACACCCTACTGATCTGACCTATCTTGTTAGGTCCCTAGAAAGACTGTGTGTTCTAACCCAATGGTCCAGATTGCTCCCCACCCCTACCTCCCATTTCTCACACTTACGGCCCAAGCTAGAGCCATCCAACCTCACATAGGGAGCAATGTTTCAACTTCAGGAGAGTTCCCCTACAATCCCAAATGTATGACTCGGCCCGAAAATGTGAAAACAAGCGACAGAGGCTCCCACTCCGCAACTGGGGGGGGGTGGGGCACTGCCATTTCAGATGGCCCCCAGGCTTGCCAATCCCTTTTTCTCACAGCAAGTGCACTGTGCTCACGTCTGTCACCTCCCTGGCTCTGGGGTCACCGATTCTGGGTGTGTAAAGGGTTCTTACTCTCTACTGCTCATCTAAAATCTTGGTCGGGTTCCATCACTTTACTGTAGCCACTGCCTTCAATTCTGTTACAAGCGCCCGGGCCTAGCTTTCTTGTCAGGGCCATTTACTTTCAGACAGCATCTCCCTCTCACGCTGACCTTGCCACATGGAGAGTACATACAATACAGTCATAGCTCCTGCCACAGCTTCCCAAGCGAGAAGCCCTTATCTACGGCATGCAGTTTCCAGGTTGCTGAGGGTTTGCTGTGTGAATGGCACAAGCCGCGCGTGGCAATGTTTTTCCTCATATTAACTGTTCTGAATGCACACAGTGGGATTCAATATAGATAACGAGGGTACACAGACAAGTTTTCATACCACTTATTTAAAAAGGTAGCTTCACTGATGGACCAGATTTGACCACTGATACTTTCCATGAGGCACTGAGAAAACCCCAGAGGACCTGGGGCCCCCGTGGATCCAGGCTCCAGTCCTGATGCCAGCATTCACTGGCCAAAAGATCTGGGCTCACGCTGTTAGCTTCTTGAAACTTGGTCCCAGCCCAGCCTCCTTTTCATCTCCACGACTTTCTAAATGTTAGTAATTTACCTGACAGTGTCTTAGGCAACTTTTTTTTTAATATTCTGAGCATTTTCATATAACATTATGGTGCCAGTTAAGCTAAAGCATCATTTTGAGACCATCATTTTACGTCTGAAAAAGTGAACTGACGATTTTAAACATAGCTGTGACGTGTTCTTTAGAAGCCAGGCTTTTGCTTGTTAGATTATTTCCAAACCAGAAATGGAGAAGCCACTGAAGACGTGACAGGGGAGGTGTCTTCCCAGCTTTGGCTGGATAAACACACGGAACAGATGAGAAGGTAATAGAGCCTGGTGCCGCGGACGGTGCTGAGCGGCTGCGGCTATGTATGGCACCCCCGAGACCAGGCTGCGATGCAGGGGCTAGGAGAGGAGGGCAGAGTGGTGGGGGTGGGGGTGGGCACCGGCAGCCTACAGTCAACTTCAGGAAGTCCCAGCTCAGGTCTGAGCCACACAGATGGTGCTAAAAAGAAAAGAAAAGCGAACCATCTGAAGCTCATCGTCTCTCTGTCTGGAAGAATCTCAGCGCTCAGTGTCCAGCTGGGGAGAGAGAAAGCGTCCGGCCTGGAGAAGAAGCGACACGAGAGCCCCTGAGGCTCCAGCCCCAGGTGAAGCCATGCGAAGCAGGCACGTACCAGGTCGATCAGGTCACTGAGGTTCTTCTCGATTTGCTGCGGAGGCAGGCGTCTCATTAAGTCCAAGGCACAGTCCAGCTGCTGGTCACTCTGTGGACATAGACAAAACAAGTGTCCTTCAGCTTTGCAGAAAGAAACTTCAAAACCTTTAAAAATGCAATCTTTCAGCGGTCACTTGTCCACCGACTTTCAAACCCACTTAGCCATCTGAGGAGACCGCCAGACCGGGCCTGGGTGAGCAAGCCCCACCTCAAGCGGACGCACTGGGAAGGACAGGAAAAGCCCTGCTCCCCTTGTCTACCCACACTTCCAAGCCTGGGGGGCTTCTGGCTGCCTGCTTGGGCGAGGGGGGGACGGCCACACCCACGCCCAGCTGGTTCTGCTCTGAGCCTGCTTTTCCTGTGAAGTCACCAAGCCAGTTCCCAGAGCTCCACGCCAGGGAGGGAGCCGAGCATAGAGCAGGTTGAAGGGGCTTCCGCAGTGGTCTTCAAGCAGGGGGAAGGTGAGAGCCTGTAGTTAGGGGCCTGCTCTGCAGCCTCTTTCCCCCTTTCAATAGAGCCACAGACTGGGAAGAGGACAGAGAGGGCTTCATCTGGTCCATCTCCCCACAGGAACCGCTGATGCCCATGAGAAAGCCCTTGACTACGCCTTGGTAGCTGGAACCCATTCCACAGCTCAGGTGGAAAAAGACCTGGCAAACGGCTTCTGTCCCGATGACAGCCTGGGAAACCCCGTGTCTACTCTGCCACAGGGGGGCACCATGAGTTGTAACTGACCCAAAACCCCGTGTCTACTCTGCCACAGGGGGGCACTATGAGTTGTAACTGACCCAAAACCCCGTGTCTACTCTGCCACAGGCGGGCACTATGAGTTGTAACTGACCCAATGGTACCTAACACCAAGTTTTCTCAATGAGACCAGCCCTCTTTAGATGGCAGCGTGGACGACAAGAACGGCAGCTGTGGTCCCAGCTGCTGCGGGGCACGGGAAGGGAACCTTCTCTATGCCATGTACTCTGTGCTCAAGACGCCCTCTGTCACATTTAGTGTTTCGGGTACAAAGCTTCACAGCGACCCTATAGGGCAGGGCAGAACTGCCCCTGTGGGTTTCCGAGGCTAACTCGTTAGGGGAGGAGAAAGCCAGGCGCCCTAGTACAATAACAGGTTAATTTAAAAGGGGATGGGTGGGGAGGGAGAAGACCAAGCAAGGGCAAGCCTAGGAAAGTGCACGGCCACCTGGGCTCACAGTGGCCTGGAGCACGGCAGACCAGAGTGCAGGAGGAGCAACAAGAACAGGTGAGAGAAGCAGCCCAGGTAAAACTGTGAAGACATGTTTATGCCACTCAGACGACAGCAAGACAGGCAGATGGCACCCTGACAGCACCAATCAGGGACTTGATCTGCTTTGTATCTGGAATCTGCTCTGCTCAGACCAATTTCTGGGATTGTTAAAAAACCTGAATTATACCCTAAAGAGTCTTTGTAAAATACACAAAGCAATCGTGGCAATGCCACATGTGGCTGTGATGACATGTAACCCTTGAGGCATTAAACACACGGAGGCCATGGGACACTTTACAGTCACCAAAGGTACAACACAGCCCACGCAACAGAGTGGTTCAATGAAGCCAACTTCACTTTCTGATACTGGTTATAACAGCGCCCAAAAGCCCCAAACCCTGTCCCTTGTTTAAAACAGTGCTAATTTATAAAAGGTGTGTGTGTGTGTGTGAGAGCGAGCGAGACTAACCACAAGAAACCCTAGCCCTTGTTTTGTTTAATGACATACTCCGAAATCATAAATTCCTTACTTGTGGCACGCACTTCTATGCCAACACGTCAGCCAAGGCCACAGGGACACGGGTTTGGCCATGTTATTGGGAGAAATATTACCACCACAGTTAGGGTCCAGAACACCAGAACATAGATAGACTGATAGGAAGGTTAAACCAAAATAAAATCTGCACAGCCAATGCCAACTCAAGGAGTCCCTGCAAGACTGAGCGGAACTGCCCTGGCCTGAGCGCTCCTCCTGTTGTAACCCTTACAGAGCAGATGCCACCTTTGACGGGATGGACTGACATGGTGGCTGCGACAATGGGCACAGACAGAACTGTAAGGACGGCACAGGGCTGAGTTGGCTTGCACTCTGTTGCATGTAGGGTCCGTGAGTCGGGGCCCACTTGACAGCACTTGTTAGACACTCTCAAATCGGCTCGGACTCACTGGCGACCACACATAAAAGAGTGAATCATGGCCCAGCCTGTGACTTGAGGGTCTAGGGCCAAAAGCCCAACCTGTCACTAGCCATATCTTGTATATGCAACTTGGGATGACCACCTGCCTTGTGACCAGGGGTCTGGATGAAAGGGCCTCTAAGAGTCCTTCTGGATGGGCACTCCCAGAAGCCCCGTGGGCCTCCGTCTCCCCCTCCCCCTTCAGAATCATTGTCCCAGATTATTCCTCCACGCCACCTTCCTTACAGCTTTTCAACTGGGCTTCAATCCAACAGATGCTTGCTGAGGGCCAACTGATGGCCAGCCCCTGACCTAAGGCCCACCCTTTAGGGGACAAACTGTCTACTAAACAGTAAATAATCACAAGGCAGTGTGAGAGCTACACAGCTCACAATACATTAATGTGTACCAATGACTTTCCCTGGGGCTCCGACCCTCGTGGTTGTGGTTCATCCATCCTCGAACCTGTGCTTTTGACTTGGTAAACTCACCCATGGACTCAGCTCTCCAGGTGATGGCCTCCTTCAAACACTGATGAACTGATCCTGGCCCAGCCTTCCCATATTAACCCCCCACCCCACCCCGTTCTACCTCCCAAAGGCAAATTGTTGAAGAAGACCATTCTATTTCATTCTCTGGAATCCTCTGTCCATTTGATTTGTCATTTGACAACTGTTTATAAGGTGTTTCCTAGGTAACCGCACTATTTACATGATGAATGGTGACTGCAACAAAGGTCCTGTCGTCAAAGCTTTGTGGTGGAGTCAAAGTCAATAGGAGAGAAGCCAACGGAGAACCATCAGAGGACAGGAAGGGGACGGTGACTCCCACTTTCAGCTGGGCCAGCACCCAGCGGGTGGGTTTTACATTTTCAATTTTTAGCAATATAAATTAGGTCAGAGAGATTTAAATTTGTGCTAATTTTTCACATGACTTAAAAAATAATAAAAACCCCATAAAACTGGATGAAATCACCTGGAAACAAGTAAGAAAACTGTTCACACTGACCTGGAGCAACTGTTCAGAATAGTAAATCAGCTTATATTAAACACAATAGTCTGAGAAACCCAGCCAGAGTTCACATTCCTGATAAAGCTATTAAATCTTTTGCATACAGTAAAACTCGGCCTATCAGATGAATCAAGAGGGCAGAGTCTGATTTGGCAATCACCAGGAAATAAAACATATTTGATCCTTGGATGGAGTTAATAATGAACAGAAAATCACTTAGGATAAAGTCTAGAGTAATAGGCAAATCTATTCACACACGTGGTTAAGTGTTCTAATAAAGGCACACTTAAGTGGTATGGAGAACCCTAAAAGATTTCACAGAGGGCTATGTGAAGTGGGGTATTGTAGGGTGAATAGGAGTACAGAAGACAGACATCATTTGTGGGGCGGGGGCACGGGATGGGACAGGAGTCTCTGCTGCAGAGCAAACTGCAAGGGAGTGAGGTGGGCTCACTGGGGCCATGCGTTTAGGGGCCAGTCTGAGCTGATGTTCACAGGGCAGTGGCTTCCTAACGAGACGCAGGCTCCACCCCAGGTCTCCCAGCACAATTTTGCTCCTTTTCTACATTACAGGTAGGTTGTTCTTTGTTCGGTAAAATGTTACTGGTTTTCCTGAAGGATTAACAGCAACAACAATGAAAGCCATAACCAAGTCGGTTCCTACTCAGGGTAACCGTTCTATGTGCCCATAGGATTTTCAATGGCTGGTTTTGAAGTAGGGCTTTCTTTGGAAGCTCTTCTGGGTAGACGCCACCATCAACTGGTGAGCAGCAGGGCGCATCAACTGTTACAGCCCCAGCAGCTCGCCATGGAGAAGGCCCCGCCGGGGAAGCAGCGGGTGTGAGGGGAGGAAGCCCTTCAGCAAGATGGGCTGACACAGTGGTTTGTTCTGCGGCACAGGGTGCTGGGAGTTGGACCGGACTTGATGGCCCTAAGGAGCACAAGTAAAATGCTTCCGCAGAGACGACAGAGGGAGAGCTGCACTTTAGGCGGGGATCTCACAAGGTCACACAGGATATATCCTGCCCCACAGTCTTGTGACAGGATGACCTTGACACTTCTTCCATTAGGAGGTGGAGTCCGTGCTCTCTCCTCTTGGAAATGGGAAAACTTTGGGGACTGTTTTTATCCACAGGGTACAGAGAAAATGACCCTAAGCGAGGCTAGGCCATAAAACAGTGGGAGCCCTAAGCCACGATGCAGTTTCATCTGCCAGAGGCTGCCATTCTGTGAGAAGCCCAAGTAGCTCACGCTGATAAGCTACAAGAAGAGACTGGGACAAGGACAGGTTCCAGCTTCAGCAGTCCAACTGCAATCCCGAAGATCCCCAAGTCAGACCAGGTAACCATGGACTCATCTCCTGACCCACAGGAGCGAGCGGAGTTAAATGATCACTATTACTTCAGACCACAGGGGTTGGGGTGGGGGGCCCGTTATGCTGCAAGAGCCACGACAGACGGCTAGGGGACTGTAGGGAGATGGACTGTGAGAGGAGGGATGCTGCAAAACCTCACAGCCAGCGAGTGGATGCCGACTCAGCAGCCCTCCGGGGCAGGGACGGGCGTTCAAACGTCCGCCTTTCTCCAGAGGAACATCTACCTGGTGGTTTCAAACTGCCTACCTTGTGGTTACAAGTCCAACTCACAACCACTTTGCCACCAGGGCCCCACAAAAGCAGATCATTACACTTTATCCTGGAGAATGGGCTAAAGTCCAAAAGTGTTTCATTGCCGAGGGGTGTGGAGTAAATTTTTTTTTCCCCACTGAAAGGGGGTTGGAGGGCAAGGATGTGTGGGAACCTATGCTCAACAGAAACCAGGGCCCTGGCTGTGTGGCGGGAGATGAGAGGGACAGAGACATTTAAGAGGAAGAACAAACAGCTCATTATGGTTGAGCGGACTCAATTTTCTAGCCGTGGCCACCAGCTAAGACGGCACAAGAGCCTCAACTAGAGAGTACACGGCTGTGTGTCCTTTTACACACAAACACACAGTGCTTGTAATTTCCAGGGCATACAGTACCTTGAACTGTTCCCAGTATTTCCAACAGCATCTGCCTGTACGTACACAGCCAACCACAGGCCCCAGGCCTTTAAAGTTTGTTCTTAAGTTCATCACAATCCTTACTTGTTTATATTACTGAGAGCCTTAGCAAAAAAAAAAAAATTACTTCATAGACAGCCCAAAGGTAAACTTTGCTGGAGCCCTGGCGCTTTATCGCAAACCCATGGAGTCTAACTTCAGGATGGGTTTGTCTTATGTAATCTATGACCCGTTCGGCAACTTTGTTTAAAAGTGGGATCTGTTTTCTGCCTTGCGGCTCAGGAACAATCTGTGCTGGGGGCTCTTTGGGGGAAGATTCATGGGCTGGGCTGGCCGATCACTCACCTTCAGGTCACTCTGGAAAACGGCTCACTTTAGATTTCGTGTTTCTTCCACTGCCTGCCTGCCCCCTGCTTCCATCCTTTAGGAGGGAAGTAGTGGGGGCCCTGCCTCACTAAACACTAAACGTAAACCCGGGCATTCGCCGTCCCCCAGGGAAACCCAGTACTGGACACAGAGTTGCAGGGACAAGTCGACTCTGCCCTGCTGGGTCTATGGCACCCTAACCTAGCGAGGCCACCATGTCTCCTTTACAGACTTCTCTAACAACAGCGAGGAGCGCAGACTGTTCCAGGCCCTCTCAATCTGGCCCCTCGTTTCAGCGGCACAAAGCACGTCAGCGAAAGCTTTACAAGGACACAGTGCACAGCAGAATTGGCTCGTGTGTCCCTATCTTCACAGGGAGAGGTTCTTCTACACACCATGCTATCTTCCTCTGGTGCTAGGAGACTGCTTGTCCGACGTGGTCTTTGATCTAAGGGTGCCCGTGGGACAGACAGGACTCTAGGCTGCTCTTCAGTCGCCACTGAGCTTGACCAGCACCCACTTTGCCATGATTCAAAGTGATTCTCCAGATAACCTAAAGACCAGGTTTTTTTAAAATCCTAAAACATGGCAATCTTTCACCCGGGCCAATTCAACACACAGCCAACCCTTTGTCTGCGCACCTCGCCCCCTGGCCTCTTCTGTCAGGCTGTCCGCTACACGTCCTCATCGGATGTGCTGCATCTAATCCAATATAGCTCAAGAAAACAGAAAACTAGAAATCCATTCCTGTTTTTAAAAAATTGGCAAATAACTTTGGGAGAGGAATAAACCACCAATTCCTAACTCGAGGACCACAGGCTCAGTGTGGACACCAACAGCTTGGTGTTGTATAAAGGTTGCTGTGGCTTTTCCAGGTTGAGGGTGCGTAGGTGTCCACCTTCTAGCTGTCCACCTTCACCCATGGGCAGTCAGTCTATGGCTGTCATGGTACAGGTGTGGCATAATCTTCCCTACTCTCCCACTCACTGGGCCTGTCACAGGGGACCAAGCAAAACTCAGGACAGGGTAGCAGAGCCTCTGGGGGTTCTTGCTGGGAGGAGAAAGCCCCCAGGGAGCGGCTGGTGGTCTCCAACTACTGACCTTGTGGTGAGCTGTCCATTGCCTAACCCACTGAACCACCAAGGCTCCTGGGACCACCTAAATGACCACTTAATCCATCAGTCTCGATCCTCTTAAACATGAGCCTAACCAGGATCTCCACCTGGCAAAGCCATAGAAAAAAGATGCAGTGCCATACCCATCGGGGGGCACCCCCCAGTCCACTCTCCCCACATGCTAGGAGCTCCCCCACACAGCACAGCACAGCACAGAGCTTATCTGGTAAGACATAACATTTTTTTGGGTGCACACAGGGATTTTTCCCTCACTTGACGCCGGTTTTCCATTTAGGCTGCCAGGAGTCTCTAG